AAAACAAATATTTCGACATCGATATGATTGTGTATGTTCCTGAAAGAAAATTAATTTAAATTTAAATCACAAATACTGTTTACGTGTATACATAATATATTTACAGAAAGGACGTTCCACGAATGAAAACAGTGTATACGGACAACCCAGACAGCAATTGTGTAACATCAATATTATAATAACGTCAGTATTTTGTTAAATATCAAATATTATAATTTTGCCGTTACTATAACATTATCTAGAGTTAAAATATATAATATTACATGTATTATGTTTCTTTAATATGTTCATTAAGTTGCTTTCATAATATTAAAGTTTAAATCACGTAATAATATTACAATGGCATTAAGTTATTAAGTTATTATAATATTGTGTTTAGAATATTTCGTTCATGTTTTGAATTGATTAATGTATAACATATTTTTTAATGTGTATAATATAATATAATTAATTTCAATGAGACACTGAAGTAGTGCAGCGTGAACTTAAAATATGTGACCAATAAGAGCAAGTTGGAAACCTCATTAAACACAGAGATTAAAATAAATTATCATAGACATGATCTGAGAATATATAATATCGAATGAAAAAAATATAATAATAATAGAATTGTATTAAAACTTATAAAAGTATTTTAAATAATAACTCTGTAACTTTTAAGTTATTTTTTCATGACTTATTCGTTTGATCGATCTATCGTATCTATATGACTTTCCTCGTAATTAATAATAAATAATAGTATAAAATATGTAAAATAAGAAATAACGGTTGGTTGAGTTGGTACACAGGTAAGACGTATACAATGACTAAAATATTATAATATTATATTCATTGTTATAAATTATAATGTATACATTTTTTCTACAATATTTATTTCATTATTTATAAGTTTACTACGTATACCTAACCTAACTATACCTGTTTAAATTATATTGGTTTTATGTTTTAACTTCTTAATATTTTATGTATTATCAATTATCTTATTAATTTATAATTTTCTATTTAACATAATTGGGTATTGTGTAAACCTATAGGCGAAAATATCCGATTGGTGGAATTCTGTAAAAACACCAGTGTTTCATAATACATACATTTCATTTAAAGTGTTAAACTAATTAATTCATATAAATAATAATATAAAAACACTAGCTAAAAAAATGAATTAATATAATATGAAAATACATCACATATTATAATATATATTAGGCAAGCATTGCATTTTTAAAATAAAGTGTTTGCAGTTTACATATTTTGAGGGAGTTTTTTCTTTTTCAAAAAAGAATACCCGCTTACTCGCATCGCGACTGACGGCTGGCGGCTGTCCCGAGCACAATACATTTCTCCCACTATGGCGCTCGATCATCGCTGATCAAAACTGTCTGACATGCATACACCGATTTCAAATAAATTGTATACAACGGTTGCGCAAGAGTGTAGCTTACACGTAAATTATAGTTGTGCTAATTGGAACCGGCTGTATGCAGGCACGGCGCCAAGGGGGGGGGGGGGCAAGGTGGGGCTCTAGCCCCCCCAGAAAACAGATCAGCCCCCTCGCCAGCCCCCCCCACTGAAAAATATGTACGATATAATTAATGTTTGTTGTATACAGTTAAAAATATTTTTAGTTGACTTATTATTTTAAATATGTTTATGTTTGATTAACACAATACTATTGTGTAAGGAGTTGGTATTCGTACCTACCTACTTATATTAGTTTAGTAATTAGCATGACAAATTTCTTATTTAAAATAATTAAATAATTAATTCAATTTTCTTATTTTCTTATTTTTATAATCTTATTTGTCATGGTAATTAGTTCACATATTACTTGATAATTAATAAAAAAGGATTTCTTAAAGTATCTATGTTTTAATGTATACATGCCAATGTATATATTATGCCTTGTGGCTTGTATATATGAACTATTTTAACCTCAAAAATTTAACAAAAAATATAAAGTAGGTACTTCAATAGTCAATGCATACACTACTATGCAAATACCAATTTAAAAATGTATTGAATTAAAAATTTAAAATGTACTAGTTAGTAGTTAAATATAAGGTAGGTAGGTAATCAAAAGTTTTTATTTAAAACAATTTGTATTCCTACTGATATCAGTGCAATTGTATACATTTTTGTTAACTTTTTCAATATTATAAGATTTTCAATCATTTACTGTATGGTGCATAAACAGATATTGTATAAAAAATCAATATTTAGCTCATAAAGAAATTATTATTTTTGTATATCATGTTATCATTATGAATATAGTTGTTGAAGGTCTTAGGTCTGTGATTAAACATTTTCTTACATATTACAAAAGGTACAAAAAAAATATTTGATATTATTCTTAAAACATTTTTAACTATTCAAAAGTTTGTAAATATTATATGTTTAGACGTTTAGAGCATACAATATAAAACGTATATGTACTATATAGCTAATAGCTATATTATATGTTATATGATACGAAAATATTTATATTTCATTTAAATAACCTCAGCATTTGTTGAAACAATTTTAGCCCATGTAAAAAAAATATTTGCCCCACTCTGCCCCCCCTGGAAAAAAATTCTAGTGCCGTGCCTGGCTGTATGTAATTCACACGAACTGGTGGCGGTAGCGCACTCGTCGCGTACCGTAGGTGCTTGGTGCGGGATGCGCGCGGCAGAACGTTGACCAGTCTGACTGACTGGCAGTCATGAAAGCCGGTATAATATTCTTTTTTGAAACAGAGTATCTATATATAATATCTTTTGTCTACAACTATCTACCATTTGCCAAGTGCCAACAATTATTATATTGTGTTGACTGTTGATACTTGATCGGGAGACGGGAAGTACCTATAATAATTAATAATAGTTATATTTATACATTTTATTATCGTGATTGAAACTATTGCATCGGTGATCGGCTGACGGTCGGGTAGTGTCGCCGTAGTGGGGAGTGGGGTAAAATTATTAATAACGTACGATAGCCGGACTATGGACTATTTTCATGTTTGGTTACTGGTTATTGTTATTGTGGGCATTTCTTGACTGTTTTAAATTATTTCATCCATGAAAGTATAGAAAAATAAATATATTATTGTCAAACGTTATTTTCAACTGTCATCCTGCATTATAGTGCATTCACATTTCACCATTTTCTCAGCGTCTGCCGTTGTGTGTTGTGTCGTTGTGTTCTAGTGCCGTTTTTTGCCGCGTATACGTTATAGGTAAGTAAATTAATTATTTAATTACCAATAGGCTATATTCAATTATTATATAGCATTATTTGATCGTAAATTGTACTACTACCATTATAGCTGTACATAGATGTACTGTAATAAATATTATTAAACTGTATTAAAGTATAGTAAACACTTCTTCTGGCTCAATTAAAACTATGGTATGCATGAAGTAAAATGTTAATAGTACCTACATTTTTCGCATTGTTAGGTAGGTATTATTTATGAAATGTGTTTAGATACCTAAGAATTCCTTACAGTTTCACATAGTATTTGCAGGTATACCTACTAAAACCGTTAGTATGACGGACACAATTATAGGGCTTATAGTCTTTAATAATTATGGCATCTGGATAACAAAAATTAATTTTTGACAGATAAGGTACCTAGGTATTTTGCTATTTATGTTTTCATTAACAATATTGTATCAGAGATTCTCAGGTACTTTTATAGATCCCCCATTTAATTAGCTCAGGAAGTGTAAATTATACTATGTTTGTTGTAAGTGGCGTGGCGAACTAAAAAATTCCAGAAGCAAGTTAAAAATATTTCAAGTATTAATATAATATATAATTAATTATATTTCAAATTGTTGTTGACTACCTATTGAGTATATCATATCACATTTACTAGGGGACCCACCGGTTACCACCCACCCCTCTACTTAAGAAAAATCTCAGAAATGACGTTCACCACGCCACTGTTATAAAATATTAACCATAATAGGATGTTGCCCTATTCACACACAAACACAAATTCCAATATAGTGTTCAATTAAAATCTTTACTTGCACATAAAAAATATTGTAACAATTCTATATTAGGTATCATTAAAATATTTTTTTTATTTTGTTGGGTATATTCAACCTTATACCTATTTTTATATAGATAATAGGCACCTAACTAAACCTATACCTGCCTACATAATATAGTTTACTCTCAAAAATATTCATAGGTACATTTTATTTTTCTATCATAAACTGTAATATCAATATACATTTATAATATTTAAAATGTTGTAGGTATTAATAAAATAATAATTATTTATCTACTACTTACATATTATTTACCTGTATTCGATATTACATTTTATTCATATTTGGTAGATAACTAACATTATTTAAAGATTTATATAGGTATATTTTATATGATTTTAATTCTTCCTATCTACTTTTTCACCTTAAAATATTGTATTTAAAGTTTCGCTCATTAGAATGTAATAGCTTAACAACAATTACAAATGATACCTACCTAGCTACTATTTAAGTAGGGAATAAGTAAATCTTAAATTTCAACTACTGATTCCAAGTTGTTTATTTGTTATGTAAAAAGTAATTAATATTTAATACTTATATAATTGTTATTTTTTAAATTTTACTTATACATGTTAACTATAGCTTATACTAAAAAGTTAAAATAATAAATTACTAGCTCATTTTTTTTCTCATATTCGTTAGGTAATATTAACATTTTGAATACTTCTCGGGTAGATATAAATACTTTTTTTTAATCTATATTAAATTTATATTTTTAGGTCAAATCTAAATGTGTTTATAATAATTCTGAGTACTATTGCAGTGAACTTATAAGTGATATAAGTGAAGTTATTTTATAAAAGTGAGTATCTTTTTAGATTTTATAAACCTTAAATAAGTATTATATAGGTAGGTACCTATCTAAATTATTTTTTAGTTTTTACTGTTTTGTATTTTATATTTTTATATTACAGGCAAGCGTAGGTACATATATAGTTTATCATTTCACCACATAAAATGATTTTGAGTGAGCGTACAAAAAAAAGAAAAATTAAAAATGAAATTGATTATACACTTAATGCAATTTATGGCAAATCTAATGATATTTTCCAAGAAGTTTCTCCATCAGTTAATTTTTGTGATAATAATGAATCATTAGATACAGTACTAAATGTATTATCTCCAACAGTGTCTTCTCCAATTACTAAAATTCCAGAAATAATACTATTTAGTACTTGTACTTCCAATACTTGTCCGGAAGAAGTAACTGATATTCTGTGTGATAATGTTGGAGAATGTTCAATTATTCAACAAGATTTTTCATTAAGAGACTTCCTAGCATCATGGGCTCTTAATTTTAACATTTCGCATATAGCTTTGAATGGATTACTAAAGGGATTAAAAAATCATAAATGTTTTAAAGATTTCCCGGTTGATAGTAGGACTCTGTTATCGACTCCAAAAAGTATTTATCAGAGTATACAAACTATTATTCCAGGAATTTATCACCATTTCGGATTGTCCTCTGCAATTTTGAAGTATACTCCCAACAATGTTAATGAGGTCAATATTGCCATAGGTATTGATGGCGTACCTTTGTCAAAGAGTAGTGGTGGTCAATTTTGGCCTATTTTAGGTTACATTATTCCTCAAGACTCGTTCCGCAAAAATGTTTTTCCTATCGGCATATATTATGGATTTGAAAAACCAAATAATAGTAATGAGTTTCTTTCAAATTTTGTAGATGAAGCTAAATTCCTAATTAATAATGGTATTATTAAAAATAATATCACAATTAAAATTTCAATAAAAGTATTTTGTCTTGATGTACCTGCTAAAAGTTTTATCCTGCGTACAAAAGGTCACTCTGGATTCTCATCGTGCACAAGATGTACAATTGAAGGAGAATACATAAACAACAGAGTCTGTTTTCCATACTCACATGTGCCATCATTAAAAAGAAATCATCAATCTTACATCAATAAACTCGACGAAGACTTTCATACTTCTAATGAATTAACCTGTTTAATTGAATTGCCCGGGTTTGATTCCATTAACTCTTTTAGTCTGGATTATATGCACCTAATATGCTTAGGGGTTATGAAGAAGCTTCTATTTCTTTGGACGAAAGGACCACTGAATGTTCGTCTAAGATCAAAGAGTGTGGACGATTTATCAACTTCTTTATTATCATTGAAAAATTGCATCACCTCAGATTTTGTTAGAAGTGTAAGAAGCATGAAAGAATTAAGTCGCTTTAAAGCCACAGAATTTCGAACCATAGTTCTTTATGTTGGTCAAATTGTTTTCAAAAATGTTTTAAGCAACAAATGCTATGAACATTTTATGACTCTAAATATTTCTATGTTAATACTCCTCAGTCCAGAAAAAAGTACACTGGTTGATTATGCTAGAGACCTTTTAAATTATTTTGTCAAAAGGTTTGGAGAAATATATGGTAGTTATCACATATCACACAATATCCATGGTCTTCTGCATTTATGTGATGACTATGATATGTATGGACCATTAGACAACTGCAGTACATTTGTATTTGAAAATTATCTGAAAGAATTGAAATCGTTACTTAGAAAACATGAGAAACCATTAACTCAAGTAATCAATCGTTTAGCTGAGAAAGATAATATAACTGCCATGCAAGAAATTAGAGAAATCACAAATAGACATGATAAGCCTTCTCAGGATATTATTCTGAAGCAGCCTCATACTAATGGACCTTTAGTTGACAATATATTTGGACCACAATACTATGATTTAGCTTATAAAAATATTCATATTAATGTAAAAAAAGAAAAAGATTCTTATATTTTAACAAAAGATAATACTCTGGTCAAATGTCTCAATATTGCACATTTAAACAACAAACCAGTATTAATAGGACAATTCTTTAAGTCTTTATTACCATATTACATGAAACCAATAGATTCTTCATTGTTGGATATATTTGAAGTCAAAAATCTTTCTAGGAACATCCATTATTGGGAAATTTGTGATATTAAAAAAAAAATTATGATTTTAAAACACAGCGGAAAGCTTATAGCAATGCCAATTATTCACTCGACAGTAGAAGATTAATTATGAAATATAACTTATTGTTAATTATATGTTTAGGTACAAATAAGTAATTAGAGTGATTCTTATCTTAATCGTGATATTTATTATTTTTATTTTGTTAGACGCGTCGTTTTGTAAATGTATTTATTTAGTATAATTTTAAATACCAAGTGTTAGTATGATAGGTCTAGAAAATATAACTTAGTTTTTATATTATTCGATCAATTTACTTATAGAAAACATTTAAATTTGCTACACATATTAATACTTTAATTGTTTATGTTTGAATTAGTCATAAATTTATTTTTATGATTTGAATAGGATTTGAATATTTAATAGGTAAAGATAATTATATTGTCATAACTATAAAGTAAGTAATATTTTTTAATATTACTTAATAGATGCAACTTTGGGATGTAGTACATTTTACATCAGAAAACACGGTAGAAGCTGTACCCTACACCTGGTTAAAAAAGTCAAAATGTGCATGGCCTAAAAATCCAAAATTGGTAAAAAGATTCATCTTAAATCATGTTAAACCAAACACCACGGAATTTTATTACTGCCCAGCAAAAAAATTGGGAAATAGGAGTTATGGTATGTTGCTTAAATATTTTTGGGTTTACTTTTATGAAATTAATTTAATATTAATATCATAGATTCATTGGTATTTGCTCAAATGAAGGCTGCAAAAGCTACATTTACTACGGATTTGTCCTCAACTGATGATGCACAATGTATGCCAAAAAAAATATATTCAACTAAACGTTATACTCTGAACAGTAAACAACAATCCGGTATAATTACAAAAGAACCATATACCTGTCCACCAAAATATGATGGTAATATTATATTATATTTAAATTATAGGTACTTCTCATTAATTTAATATTTTTAAAAATAAATTTAATAACTTTTTTTGTTTTAGATTATTTAGAATCAAAACGTGAAGATTTAAGTAGTAAGGACAATATTGAACAAAACAAAGTTCATAAGCCATCTAACAGCTGTTCACCAAAATATACAAGTAATGTGTATTTTTTTTATTAATAGCTCTTTTTTTTTTTAAATCAATATTTTTCTAAATTATTTGTTTAGTTACCTCAAAATCAAAAAATATGGAGTATGATAATCTGCAGGAACAGGATGACGACAGCAGTTATGATGATCTACATACTGATCCTAATTGGAAGTCAAAATCAGTTTTTAATAGTAATACATTTCTATAGTTTAGAAAATGTTATTTTGATAATTATTATAATTATATGTAAACCATCAGTTAATAGCGATGATGATGACATCGTTATTGGAACTCCATCAAAGGTTGATGAAGTAAAGGACCTATATTCGCCCAAACAAAACTGGAAAATATCAACTCATATTGTTGACACACCAGAACAATGTAATAAAAAAATAGTAACACATTCTCCAGCTACTGATAAATGGACTGTAGACAAAACATTTGAGACAACATACAATGAAGAACCACCAGTAAAAAGAGTGCTGTTCAAAGATGTAGAGGATTCGTACAAAAAACCAGGTTATTAATAATATTTATTAATAGTTCATATCATATCATTCACCTTACATAATTATATAATCAAATATATGTATATTTCATTAATATGACTAATAATAATTAATAGACAATAATTATAATTACAAAAAGTTTAGGAAAGCTCATTTTGCGAGCGTGCTATAAATTCCCAGTTTTTAAATGTATTTTAATACAACTCAATAAATATATTAATTCCATAAACAATTTATGTAATATAATATTATATCAACAATAATTATAACTATGAACTGACAAATAATAAACAAAAATCAACAATCGTAACTATAATATACTGGTAACTAACAGACGGACACAGCGGGGTCCTAAGGTGTTTTAAATAATATATTATTTAGAAATCTAAAATTGTTATTTATTTTATAGGGTTAAATGCAGTTACATCTGAATTATTACCTTCAAGTCGACAAAATAATAATGCCGTGCAGTTTAAGACTACTGAAGGTTAGTATTATCGAGGTATTTAAATACTCACAAATTTAATAGATACCTCTACATATTATAATAATAGCTAATATTGTATTTAAAATTGTAATAGCTGTTGTTTTCTACTTTAATATAAATAACCATCTTATATTTTTTCATTAATATAACCAAACAATAATATTATAATTTATACCTTTTATACATTTATATCCCTATATATTATACATTAATTATTTATTATGTTTAAAATGCATTAAATGTTCTAGATATAGATTTATTTGTCAACCAATATGTTTTTACAACTAACATGATGAGAAATATATTAATTTAATTTTTTGTGATCATTTAGCTTTTCAGACTTTTGTTGTCAACACACTTATTAATTTAAAATACGAAATCAATAACATCTCAAATGTTGTTCAATCCAACCATTTAAACATTGATTGTCTCCTTGCGAATGCTAACAAACATCCATCCATAGATCTTTCAAACATAGAATGCAACATGTTTCCCATTGAAAATGAAGAAGATTTGTATATTTTTGAAAACAAAATCAAATTGGAAAATGGTTTTAGAGAATCCTTGGTAAATAATATAACATTTATATCTTTCAAAAACTATATTTTGCTTAATAACATCTTTATCCTAATGAAACCCATTTTTAAATATCTGCAAAGTCAGAGTTTTTTTTAGCTAATTCACAAATAAAAATTAAAAAATCTTATTTTTTCAACTATATAGTTATTATAATATATGGTTTTGTTTATTATTCTTAATTATTTTACTATACTAATACCAGCTATTTTTCTTTTTCAGATAATGAAATTATCCGTTTTAACCGATAGCAATGATTTGGGAAATAGTGTCAGAAGGGTAATTGGTCGCATGGTTAAAGATGATGTATTAGTGAAATACTCTCTGTTTGGGTTTAAGAAGAAACAATGTTTTTCATCTTTATTAAGCTACCGTCTGATAATAGGTAAAAATCTAAATTTTAAATATCTTAAATCATTGATTATGTTTGTACCCTCATTCCCAAGTTATTAATTATTTTAGGAAATAGTTTTTCTCAATATCTTATTTGACTTACCTAATATTAATAGTACCGCATATACAATAGGTGGTACTACAGTTTATCTCTCAATTAATCTTTGAGAACCAAAATAATATATTATTTCCTACAAGAAAATAAGTTGCTATTATCTCATATTTTACATGTCAAAGTTATGATGCATATATTTAGTCTTATTAATTCTATATAGGTTCTTGGAGTAGGTACCTATTATACAATTATATGTATAAATAAATGGTATCTTATATTTGTAAATCACTAATAAAATATAGACAACAATTTTAATTTTAATTCAAAAACTACTATAATACGTAACGTAAATCACAATGCAGGTACCAAATTTAACAATATAATAAAATCCAATCGCATATAATGTAGTCTCAATGGAGGAAATTAACTTATTTACAATGTGTATTGTGTACTATACATTATATGTTATCTCTGTATAACATAAATAGGTATCTCATATAAATTAAATTTTATCTGTGTAAAATAAATATAAATTATGATACTATAAATTGTTTTAGCTACCAACATATTATTTTAAATAATTAATAATAGTCATACTTTTTTTTTTTTCAGATGCGATTAGAACAAACATTAAATATAAAAATATTCCAGAAAAGGATATTGACAACTGCCTTGGCGTATGGCTTTCTCACGCACCATTTCGTCTTAAAAAAAAAAATTCAAACCAATCTAATAAATTGTGAACATTTAAATTAAAAATAATAAACAAGTGATGATATATAATAAAATTTACAGCTAATTTTTTTAATATTATTATATTTACTTTTATATTTCCTTATTCTTGTGAAAATATTTTCTAAATATTAGTAAATTATTAAATCTAAAACATTCATATGTGTTTTTGTGGTAATGTTAAAGTGCAATATTCTGGGTATGTTAGGAAACAATATTATGGAAACATATTTTTTTTTACCATGATAATTTTATCATAATGTTATTATAATGTTAACGAATCTTTCAATAACGTTACTATAATATTCTTTATAACATTATTACTACGATTATAACATTGTTTGAATATTGTGGTAACATAATTTTGCTGTCTGGGAATGGCCACTGTTTAACAAAATTTATTCACGAGGAACATGACACATTAAAAATTATTGATGTCATGATTTTAGGTGTATTTCAATGGTTCAACATAAATAAATACGATACCGATTTAACCGTAAGTTATTAACATATATAATATTAAATATTTGAAAATGTATATTATATACAGTTATAATAATTATAATTTAAAAAAATTGCAGATGAAATGCCTGATAAAAAACGTATTGATATTTTCAAAATTATTAAAATTAAATTTTAAAGAGTCCTTTTCCAATTCCCTTATAAAAGCATCAGTCCATAAATTAAGCAGCAACAAAATTATCAATCAATATAGATTCTCATTAAAATCACCTACTTCCTATTCATTAAACCAAAATTCATTTCCCTCAATCAAAAATTTAAACAATAATAAATTATTCTACACCATCATACGTATACATCCTCATTTATATGACAATTACTTCAGAGGCCATAACATAAACCCCTCTCAATTCGACTTTTCAATTTTAAAAAAAAAAATTAATTTCCTTCAACAAAATGTGAATTCTATACTTTCCAATCACCTCCACACAAATTTCGACAAATTCCATTCTGATTTCCGCCTCCAACTAACAACCTATAATTCTAATATTGCAAAAATTGATAAATACATAAAAATAAACAGTTTGAAGTCCAAACAAAATAATTTGTTAACATCAGAAGTAATAAATACACCAAAATCTATTAGTAAATCAAAACCATCATTTTATCCAAGGTATGTTATTTTTTTAAAATTAAATCGACGTCTCACCCAAATGTTTTTTTTCTTACGTTCTTAACATACCCAGCCATGCGGGTGCGACGTCCTCTTAACTACCTCATTATTTA